ATGGAATAGATTGCTTTATTTAAAATGGGATTTAATAATAAAAAAACCCCACTAGTTATTGTCGTCTTTAATGCCATCAAACTGTCAAAAATCTACAATATTAATTTTGGATTGTGTGTTTATCAATAAAATTTTAATTTTAAGATGTTTTGCTTTACTAATAAAGAAACAAAACCAACAAACCTGCAATTCACATGAATGTATAGAAAAGTTTGACTGAGCAGTTGCGGTATTTGGGTTAAACGGTTAGACTTAATATGAAGGTCTTGAACTTCCATGTTTCAAAGCACTGTTTTTAATAATTTAATAAGCATAATGAAATGGAAAACCCCACAATGTGATTAACTGACAATAAACAATGTTGGTAGTAATGAACTAGGTGGTGTCACTAACTAAATCAGGTACAAAGGGTTTTATGCAAAAATATACGCCGTCAACATTAGCCAAGTGGTTTCTATGAAGGTCCCGTTTGAAGAAAACGCGAAAACCTTGAAAAATAATAGAAAAAAAGTTTAATAACCTAAAGAGAGAAATAACTTATTTATGAAGCAAAAGGGACATTACGCCAATGCACAGGATACATATATAAAGATAGAAGAGAGATTGAAAGAGAGCCAAATATCCAGTTTTATGTCAACAGTCCAAAACCGTGTGACCAATGTATAGGTAGTAATCTGGAAATTGTCGTTAAAATGTACTTAGAAATTAAATTTGCTATCTGGTTAACTGAATTCATTGTTTGGACCCAATTGACATCTATGTGTCTATATGTATATCTGAAAAGCAGGAATGAGAAAATAGCTCATATTTTATAGTTATCATATTTTATAAAATTAATTAGCAGACATAAAAAAATTCAGTAAAACATTTGCTTTTCAAGATCATTGACGTGAGAATTACAGCCTGGCTATCTTATGGAATTCAACAATGATTATAATTACAGTAAAACAGATACATGTTTTAGATTACTGTTTTTTTTTATATTTTATTTTCGCTATAACCGAGCTATTTTCTAAACTTCTCATATTATATAATTAGAAATAAGCAGACATCATATGTTTGAGCCGCTTTCTAATAGGTAATGCCATTTTTATGAACAAAGCACCTAGACAGCACATGTCACTTCATAAAAAATGCCTCGAGTCTTATATGATACCTACAGATTGGAATGTTTCAATTTTACCTACAATTAAAAGCAATATTGAATTGTAATAACACCAATTATAAGCGTCGAGAATTAGCCTTTAGTTTAGGTAGGTTGTCATTCTTAACACTTTCCAGGGAATATTGTTATTGTGGATTCAATAAATACATTTAAAATGCCTTAGCAGCCTTATACAGTTTTTCATTTCTTTCATTATAATTTGTTGTTTTACTTACTATTTTGTTTGTAAAGACCAGTATATTGCACAGATTCGGCGTAACTACTTATGTATGGCGACTGTTTAAATTGAGTAATGAGGATACATTGCAATTTAATGTAAAATTAAACTTTAATCCATCTGTAATCAAGAATATTGTATGTTCAGTTTTTTTGTCGAATCGTATAAAAAATTAAAGATATTTTGTCAGTCGGTAGCATTGCAGTACTGTTGCCAAGGATACGCAGCAACGCTATATTCGAAAACAGGCTTTGATGGTCAACTTTGATGTCATGTTGTAAAAAATGGCTGAAACTATTGGAATATAACAGAATCTTATTTGAGATATTGTCAACTTTTCATGATAATTTTGAAGACACTTCTCCAAACGTTTGTAACGTGTCGTGTTTTATCTTACATTAAGTTATTGAAAGTATGAGGTTTTTAAAAGTTTACACTTGACATATAAATTAAAAATATAAATGTAGTAGTCTACATATGAACATTTTTTTATATAAAATTTTTAATCTGTGAAAACGATAATGATTCATTTATATTTTAGAAGACAAGATACTAAAATTTACCGAAATTCAAGAATAGTAAGTAATTTTTAATTAGCGTTATTTTTGTGTTTACGTAAATTTAATTTGACCACTTTCTACATTGAAAGTGAACTGCATTGGATCTCTGAATTGTGAATTTAAAAAATTAAAATTGGTTGTTACTATTCAACTGCGCAAAATCAATTTACGGTGTTTATAGCGTATTTAAGATTTTAAGTGTTAAATCCCACCATATTTTACTATGCTTTGAATTCCTATTTTGACCACGAAAAACTTTTGTAACTTACGTAAAGATCTGGGATGCGTTTCACTAACGTACTTAAGTTATCGTTACTCGAGTTTGAACGTAACTATTTGCGTAAGCAGAACTTACATATTTGCATTTCATTAAACTTTATTAGCTACGCATTTGCGTAAGTTTAAAAGTAAAGTTACGCTCACATATTACTGGTGTAAATTACACGTTTTGTTTAGTAAAACGTAACTAACGTAAATTTACGTTCTGCGTAAGTCCAATTATACGTAAAAAATACGCAAAACTTACGAAATGTCAGTGAAACGCTCGTCATAAAAGTATTTGATTCGATGACGCAAAAAATAACGATATCAGCTTGTTATTTATGTCATATCTAAATCCTTTAATTTTACAACATTGTAAACAGTAAATACATTATTCCCAACCCACTCACATGCACATGGTAAATTGTACAATCACTGTAGGAAACATCATAAGAAATGCCACAATCTTTTTGATGAAGTTGTATGTTTACTGGTAGGATATACAAAAAGTACACAAGTGTTCATGTTTATGTTAAAAGTCAGTAAAAAAAGTGCAAATAGATTATCTAACGGAGGACAGGATGCTCCACAATCGAAAAAGTTGTCACAAGGTTGTTTCGTTGAGTGTACTATTGCTTACCTATATGAATACACAAAATTGTCCAAAATGTACAAAGACTTGTTATTTAGATGTTTGATCGAGTAAATCACTGATTGATTATTGTGAATGTCAATCACGTTAGAAAGTCACAGAGAACAAGTGTGTGAAGTTTCAATCTATTCCCTTAAGTAGTTTTGGAGATACCAGCTCACACGCAAAAAACTTAAACAAGCATTTAGCATTTCCAAGACGAAAAGGGGGCATAAATATGCAAAAAAGCAAATCAGAGTTATGGGACTTGTGCTAATCATGTTAGATTATCACACAAAAGAGAACAAGTGTATGAAATTTCAATCCATTCACTTCAGAGTTTATGGAGATACCAGCTTCCACGTAAAATCTAACCACATGGGACGCCGAGTCTGCATTAGCTCGAATATTCTGCGAATTGCCGAGCTAAAATATAGGTGTTTTCTTTAATTCAAACAATTTTCTCTTCAAAATGTTTGCCTATTCTATTCCAAAATTACTTTATTCTTTACAAAAATAATAAAGCTAATAAAGCTGTTTACTAAAATAGTTTAATATAAAGTTATTTAAATGACAAATTTGTTATTTTACCCAACCCACTCCGTAATACACATTGTTCTCAAAAATTACTATATAATGAAGACACTCAGTGGCATTTTTCTGATATAAGAAGTTTGTTTCCTGTTATATAAGACATAATAAAACAATTTATATTTTGTATATGTGAACTGCACGAAAAACATGGGAAAATGAACAGGAAATCTTTAAATATGATCATTTTTGTACTTTTTTTGTCACATGTTATCTGCTTTTTACCATAAATAACAATTTTACATAAAAAGTAGGTAATACAACTTAATTCCTGACATTAATTTGCTACAAAATACAATAAAAGGACAAAAGCATCTGATTTAACTGTTAAAAGTTAAGCAATAGTGACTAAGTGGTACTTTCATAATTTTGGCGGCCATCTTGGACGCCATCTTAGATTTCTCTGTTCGCCACCATTTATGCCAATTTATGCGGGCAGATTTGGAAACTATAAACATTTGGGAAAATTTTGGTATATGACATGTCTTGTTAAAAATGGATCCGGGTAGCCCCTTTAAATAGGCCAGTTTTTTCGTAATCGTCACCCTACCAAATAATCTGTTGATATTACAATGGGATAATCTGTATATATGACATTGAGATAATCTCTATATATGACAATAAGAAAATCTGTAGAGATGACAATGAGAAAATATGTATGTATGACAATGGGATAATCTGTAAATATAACAATGGGATAATCTGTAGATATGACAATGGGATAATCTTTAGATATGACAATGGATTAATCTATATATGTGACAATGGCATAGTCTGTATGTATGACACTGGGATAATATGTAGGTATGACAATGGGATAATCTTTATATATGGCAATGGGATAATCTGAATTTATGGCAATGGGATAATTTGTAGATATGACAACGGGATAATCTGTAAATATGACAATGGGATAATCTGTAGATATGACAATGGGATAATCTGTAGATATGACAATGGGATAATCTGTAGATATGACAATGGGATAATCTTTAGATATGACAATGGATTAATCTATATATGTGACAATGGCATAGTCTGTATGTATGACACTGGGATAATCAGTAGATATGACAATGGGATAATCTGTAGATATGACAATGGGATAATCTGAATTTATGGCAATGGGATAATTTGTAGATATGACAACGGGATAATCTGTAAATATGACAATGGGATAATCTGTAGATATGACAATGGGATAATCTGTAGATATGACAATGGAATAATCTGTAGATATGACAATGGGATAATATGTAGGTTTGACAATTGGATAATCTGTATGTATGACAATGGACTAATCTGTAGGTATGGCAATGGACTAAAATGTAGGTATGGCAATGGACTATTTACATGTTTAGTGCAACATTTACTGGAGCTGATTATGTTGTATTCAACATCCGGGCAGTCTCTGTAAGCGACATTCATACTGATATAATGTAAAACTAATCTGTATATAATTGTCCGTTTATAACCATAACAATCCACGACTAGAATACTGTTAAACTGACATTCATTAAAAAGAAAAAAAATCAAAAAAACGAGTTTAACAAATTAAAGATTTGAATAACTTACTACAGTCTTGTTCATCTTCCCCTCCAGGACATTCATGATGTCCGTCACAAAGAAATCGTTGTTCAATACAATAACTTCCTGGACATTTGACTGTATTTTCCGGACAAGTGAAATTTTCTGAAAATCAAATGCTTTTTCAATGATTCGGACACTATTGAGCAATTAATTGTGAATTATTAAAATTTATATCATATCCTTCAGTGGTAAAAGACTGAGAAGTATTTTAGGTGTCACTCTGTTCTACGTTCTTCAAGTAGAATAAAACAATAAAGAATTCGAGACATAAGGCATGTAGCATGCATAGCTGTACCAGTACTTACGGTTTAGTACTTAAGTATCAGTACTTGCCAAGATTGCAGTACCATTAAGTACCAGCACTAGATTTTTGCTCGGTACTGCAGTTTTAAGGAAGTTTAAAAATCACTAGCAGCACTTTAATATATTCATCATATTTTGAATAAATACATTCACACTATCAAACAAAATAACATATTATGTATATTTACATATTGTAGTTATACATTTTTTTTAAACAAGTATTTTCATTTCACATGTGTGCACTTCAAATAAAAAAGGCATATTTTACAACTTTAATGGTTTAACATACTTTTCCCACATCATATATTCCTGCCATATCTTATTGTTTTAAAACCAGCCAACTGTAAAGCAATACAATCCTCTTTCATTTAAAACACAACAGTCTTTTGTTGCCTTTCACACTTTCTCACCTCTGTACAGTTTATTACAAAGTAAATAACAACTTGTATAGTAATAACAATATCACTTGAACTGGGATTTTTTAGAATAGAAGCAACAATAAGTGTTAATCTTGCTCTTTCTTTAATAGTAAACTCAAACAGAAAAAAGTGATGGCATTTTTTATAATACCACATTTTAAGACAGTAATGCAGTATCAGTACCAGTACTTGCAAAATCACTGCAGTACGTACAGAAGTACCAGTACAAGTAATGCAATCTTGTAGCATGTATGTTCATTGTTTAAATAGTTATAGCCTCTTATGTTTTACAGTATCATATAGTTTATTTCAAATGAATAATTCATTAATATTCTTGGTTTGAATCAAAACATAATCGTTGTTCAATTTTCATTATTAGATTAAGGAAAAAGAGATTAGAACTTAATAAATATTATCCATTTACAAGCGTTTTTTTTTTTTATTTCCAGCAAATAATAATCTGACATCATCAACACAAAGTTGAAAATTTATTGAAATATTATGGTGTTTATTATGAACATCATTACATGGAATATAAAATTAAAAACGAAACAACATTAAAACAGATGCAAAAACACAGATTTGTTTCTTGTAAGCATTGACAGCTATACCGTAAAACCGATAAAACCGATCAATATGTTTTCTTTCAATAGAGATTAAATATCTCGTTAAATTGAGTTTGATTTACTTATACACCAATTGTGTAATTTGTTTTGCGTCCTTTTCCATTCATTTTTTAAAAGCAACTTTTCTTTAATCCACCATACTCCCAGATGTTAGAATGAAAAATATAGTATCAGTTATGTTAAAGTGAAATTATATCGTTACTGACCACTTAATTCAAGAAGGAACGTTTACGTATAAGAAGATCATTAGCATTTGCATGGTCGTGGTGCTAGGTAGTCTCGGTCATCTGGAACAGGTGTCTAGTTGTCACACCTTAAAGCGATTTTATTTAGAAGTTGTAGGTTCGGACCAGGGCTGGTCTGGCTATGGAATGGACTATTTTACGGATGATACTTCATAAAGGCGTACTCTGGCAGATATCAATGTTGAATTTAAATTGAAACAAGATGAGTAAATTTTCTAATGATTTCATTTAGTGTTTTTTGATATTATAATAGTTTCCAACAGTCCAAGGTAAGAATTGCTTTGTTTCATGTAAAATTGTGTTAACACATATTAAAAAATTGTAATATGAAGTATGTATTAAGTATAGAGATTTTGAAGATAATTAATTGTCACACAAGTGATGGAAAAATACCGGGTTCCGGAACGCCTGGAATCAGAGATAGTTGATGTGAATGCTGGTTTATCTCTGATCATTTTCAACCTATCTTTAAATCAATTTAATTTCATGTTGTAATAAAATCATTTATATTACACCTCATAAAATGTAACCAATGAACTGTCAGCACCATGTGATATTATAATATCAATCTTTCTTTTATCTAATTTTATCAACTGAATCTCATTTAAATTTCTTAATTTCAAGAGTCGAAACAGACTGTATTAAATCTAAATGCATATCATACTCATGTAGCCTCGTTTAAATCTTAGAGTTCAAAACATACTCTTCATCTAGCAAAGATATCATTTTAGAGTGAAAACAAATCATATAAAATCCTTATTGCAGTTGAAGAAACAAAAATTTGTTAAAATGTTAAAAAATGATGGTATGAAATAATAATGTATTATATATTGTAGAGATCAATATTGTTTCAATTGGACTTGTACTGCAAAACCTATATCAGACTCGGCTAGTGCCCGTCCAATATAATTTTCAAAGCTGTGTACTCGTCCAATAGAACTTAATAATGTATAACAATCATATATTATATATGATACGATCCCGGATGTGGATATTTTTATCATACTGTTGCGTTATACTATAAATAGCCTAGATGAAAGATTTCCTAGTATGTTTTTCTAAATTGTATATTTTTTCAAAGCAAAAATATTTAAATATGCATGCTTTTAAGGAAAACGACCTATAAAGAATCATAAAAGTGAGAAAAAAAATAGGACAGTTATATGCCTTAAAGTTTTTTTATTTATGCATTCAAAATCTAAACAAAATTTTCCTTGTGGTTTATGAGTAATGTACATTAATTTGAACTTAAACTTTGCAATTAGAAAGGGCTCTTTTTTGAAATAAGGAAACTTTAACTAATCTATAATATAAACATTAAGAAATATGTTTTACTATTGCTTATTGTTAAGAAATAATGAATACCATTTAGATAAAAATGACATGAGCAAAATGATTGCATCATTGTAGAAAAATAATACACATCCTTAACCCACTTTAAGCATTTTATTTGACTAATTCCATATGTAAAAAGCCTAATTCAAAATATCCTTAAAATTTACCACAATGAGGGAGTAATTTAAAAATTTGCCTTGATCTTCAAACGTTTAATGGTTGATCTTGTAAAATATAAAATACTTTCACCGTGTAGTTGTTATTTTAGTAGACTTTGAAAATACCTGGTATCTCATTTGTTATTATATTGGGCATTACTTAGCAAATAAATACCTACAATAATCATATAATAAAATTCAAACACTTTTACTTTCCATAAGGAATCTGAGAGATACATAATGTTAAAAAGAAATAGAAAGAACTAAGTGCCATTTATGAGGCTTGAAAACCTCAATTTCAATGCAGTTGACAGTGATTATAGCCTATTTGAATACTTTTCAAAGTGGAGATTTTGCATAAGGGGTGGTCGACCTTAAGCGATATTTCGATTTCCTTCAACTGTTCTTCTCTTTTAAACAGCGATTTTGAAATATGAGTAAACTTCTATGATCTCCTGGTGGCATGTTTCTGTAAACTAGTAAAACAATTACCATACTGACAGACTGTAGGAAAATGTACTGGCTGTAAAACTGTTCATTTGCTTACTATCCTTCCTACTTTTTTATTGTGAAGCGCTTATATATATTTAATTTAGGTTCAGTATTTACAAGTAAGGTAATTATCTTTAAAAGAAAGAAGTAACAACACAGCTATGTACAATATATCGAGAGAAGGGCTGAAATGACTACACCTGTTTTGATCTGCGCAGTTGTGAAAGTAACAGCAAAATTATAAAAAAAGTTTTTTTTCTTTATTTTCAAATGGAAAAAAGAAGAACGATTATAGATTACAAACATGTATATGTTGAATTTTCTAAGCGGGTCTTGTAATCTGGCGAAGTTAAGGTTTATGGAGAAGAAAAATGCAAAATTGTCTGCAAGATGGTGTATGCACAAAAAAATCCTACAGTTTTTGTATCTTTTATCATTTCAACATGTGCATGCAAATATGTGGTTCGCATACTAATGCATTCATGAGTCACTAAGCACTAAGGAAAGTTTTTCTGTTTTTTTTTTTTTTTTGTTGTTTTTTTTTTGGACAAACATTCTTCGTTATGATATAGTTTTATCATCATTCTTTTACAATTTGGATACAATAAAACATAGCTGATTAGCCTTGATAATTTTCTTGTCTAATAAAAGGAATGTGTTCAAATTGATATAATATTACTTGTCAAATAGTAAGAAATAATCGATAAATCTGCTGGAAAACATTTAATATATTTTACATGTATAGTAACACAAAATAAACTAATAACTTAGATAAGTTTGTTCTTTACCGCAATGTTGTAAATGATCTCCAGATCTGCATCCAGTCATGTAACCGCTGACATCTACGGCATATATACACATCATCGACATTGGTATGGCTTTGTCGTCTCTTTTACAATGAAAGAACTCACCATATTCGGTCACATTGTATTCTTTAAAAAAATATTCTTAACAGATTATAAACATGAATTTTAAAAACAACATAATATAGAAACAATTGTGACACAGATGTTTAAAGAATTTTATTTGCATATTATAAAAAATAAAATACGATACTTCAGAAAGTTTGTTTGTTAACAATTGAACAAAATATAATCTAATAATCGAATGAATTCTGGTCATTGATGATACAGCTTTTTGTAGGCTTGTAATAATGTTTGCATTTTATTCTGGAACAAAATATATTAAGTTATGGAATGTCTTTAATTGAATAAGAATTATAAATTATAAGTCTGTAAAACATGCTTCTATTTTTAGCTTCCATACCGTATGTGCAATAAAAAGTATCTGTTTGCGTCATTAAGGGTATTGTCTCGAAATGACGCGAGCGCAATTGCTTGTTAAGCACATAACTGTTATCATACCCTTGTGCTATATATATGTTTACGTTCCAGTCAATTTCAGTTCCATCGCATATTGTCCCCTTAACAAATCTATATAAGGAATTTTGATTGTTACAATATCATTCTAAATAAATCATACGTTTTATGTTGTGTTTTTGTTGGCCAAGAAATCTTTACATTGATTCTATGAACTTCATATAAACATTAGATGAATGTATACTGTCAGTCTTTGAAAGGAGGGACCAGATCAACTTGAAGAGTAATTGGGAATGTAAATCCCAAGAAATAGTTTTTATATAGATAAAGATTTTAATCGAATTACACTCATTAAATATGAAGTTCCAAAATTTCAATAAAATAAAACAATTACAGTTAACTATGAGCTTTGTATATCTTTAACTTTGTAACCATATTATTTTCAATATCAAAGAGACATATTTGTCAAATTTAAAGACTATAAAATGTATTTCTGTTTTGACAAAAACTGTTGATTCTATCAAATTAAGAGACGAAAACATTTTTATAATACACATATTTGATTTAATTTTAATAAAACAAAATTTTGGGTAAATTCTTTAAACACTTACCCGGATTTTTCTTCTGTGCAGTTACAAAACGGATATGCAAAGTTACCATTAAAATTGTCAACAACAGCTGCTTCACGGAATTTAAGTTGACAATACGTTTTTTCCTGAAACAAACATATTACTTTAATTCATATTTCAACTATTTCTTACATGTTTTTTTTTTATTTTCATCAATTCAGTTGTGATAGGAATAATATTTTATTAATGTAAGAATAAGCACGCAATGCGCATACCGAATTTTTATTACATCTTACAAATAGTTTTTGGAGAAAAAAAAAAGATAATCAAATATATAAAAACAACATCAATAGCCATTCTAAGAGGAAGTTTTATTGTTTATAAAAGATACCCCATGCCACATATAATGTACTGCTCATAAACAGTCCTTATTTATACACATATTGAATTCATAAAGCATATAAAAGTGAAGACATAATTGCTTTCAGGAGAGATAAAAGTAACAAAAAATGTGCTACTATTTGAACAAGAAGTCCATGGACCTTATTTGAACAAGAAGTCCATGGACCTTAAAGGTCACTTTGAATTGATACCAAAGCTTATGTGAATTAATTGTTTGTTTTCTTTTTCTTACGTAAATAACTTAAATAGATTTATCTAAAATCAGACATCACTTAAATATTTTAATTTCAATACATTGTCTTTATATGATATAATGTATAATATTATATTGTGCATCTATTATTCTGTCCAGAAACTATTTCACTAATTTTAGTTACAGTCATCATGACCTTGACCCCTGAAGGATTCAAATGCAATAACAAAATAGGTCTTTATATCGACCTGCTAAATGCCAAGTTTGATTACAATAATTAATGCTTAAAATCTAGTTACTGCACTTAAACTATTATTCTTTTTTCAGAAATGGTGACCTTGACCTTCAACGCAGGGGGTCTAAATGCACAACCAATTCAGGCCTTTATTTGAGCTTAATGAATACCAAGTTTGATTACAAAATCTCATTTTTGAATCTTGTAATAGTCCGGCAACAATTTTTCTATCCTCAAAAACGGTGACCTTGATCTTGATCCCTCGGAATACAATGCATACCACGAAGATCTACATATAAGATTGCTAAATACTAAAGTTGGTTACAATATCTCATTCCTAACAAAAGTCATTGTCCGGAAACCATTTTTCTATTATAAGTAACAGTGACCTTGACCTTATGCTCAGGGGAGCCAAAAAGCAATATCAACCGGGGTTTCTACATAAGGTTGCTTTACAGACGGTTTGATAACAATGTCACATTCCAAATTTTAGTTATCGTCCGGAAACCATGAAAGAGACCGATCTACCGACTAATGGACCTATAAAGCTGATTCCTATATTCCCCTTATGTTTTCTTTGTGGGGTAAAAAATATGCAAACGGCTTAACTGCCTTAATGTTAGGTAGTTATGAAAGAACACATTTTCTTTAAATATTTTTTTACAATATACACCCAAGCTAGCCCCATCCTGTGACCTGAACCAAGGGGCCATAGATTTCACAGTTTTGAAAGAGGAACTCATCCTCATACAACTATTTACTCATATTTAGAAGCAGATGAGAAGATTTTCAAAGAATTTACTACATAATCTTTAGAGACTCCAGTAACAAAACAACAAGAGCAAACAAAAAAATCAACAACAATAAACTTCAGAACCTCGAAACCCTGGGGCCGTGGAATTCACAATTTTTTAAAAAAAAATCTGTCTCATGATTAAATATGCATTTACTGTGTTTCCTAATTAACCAGGAGCAGAGAAGAAGAGTTTCTTTAATTTAATTTTAAAGAAGTAATTAACTTTCACTGTATGTTCAAGAGGGCCACCAGGATCCCTAACCCTGGGGTCATGAATTTCAAAGTTTTCTAGAAGTCTCAATCATGAATTTCAAAAGTTTTCTAGAAGGCTCAATGTGTATTACAATCATTTCAACAGTTTGACTGAATGATGCCCAGCAGTAATGAACACTTTTAAAGACTGCATATCTTTTATGATTTAAGCTCCAAACATCAGAGCCCAGATGACAGGACTCTTGAATTTCACATTTTTTGTTCCCCTTTATCCTAAATGCTTTATTCCAAAATTTGTTTAAATTAATTCAGTGGCTTCATAGAAGAATGTTAAAATGTTAACGCATAGCGCACGGCGACGGACAGAAACGGATAACAATAGGTAACATGAGTTTACTCGAGCTCAATCAAAATTTGTTTATATTTATATCAACACAACCTCATAATACAAACTCAATACAGGGATTAACAACACTATATTAGTGGCTCGTTCATTTGCCATATTTGCGTATCTAATTATTCTGTGTAAAACTAATACAGATATATTGCGGTAAATAATCTGTCAGATGCGAAAAAACTGAGGGTAGAACTTGCAGAAAAAAAGTTATAGAGCAAGTGTTTTGATGATATCTCCAATGAATGCAGTAAAAATGGAGAAGAATGATGTTATATTGGACAAACAAATTACAATCCAAGCTTGTCAAAATAGTAAACAAGTCTTTGTATGAGTATTTTGATTGTTTGCAGTAGGCCATGAGTTTATGTCAAACACGATATCAATTAATTCGATATTATTTATTGTGTGATTAGAGACTAAGATAGTGATTATAATTCTGGTGTATTGTCTGATACTTATTTTTATAACGTTGATATTTGGTATAAATAAAAGCAAACGATTGTACAAATATGTTCAGTTCCAAATGCATAGACGAGGATCAGACCTTAACAGTATTCAAATACTCAATGGTTACCTGCAAAATTGAATTGATTCGTCCCTGTTGAAAGTCATATCAATTATGCAATCGTCTTATTTCAAAACCACAGTTCCGGGGATAATATGGAGATCGATAGTTCATGCCAACTTCAACTTACCCGAATAAAACATGAATAACCCCTCCATAGAAAGCGCTTCATACTCCTCCAGTAATAATGAAGTAAAGAATACTTCCGTACAGATGTACCAACTGAAACAACTATTCTTCCCAATTCCTTTCCTATTGGTTGAAGGTGAAAACTCAAACCCAATCCTGAAAGAAGAAATTATATTTCTAAATATTATTTTGTACTCGGGTATGTTTTCTCCTTCGTTAAAACTGATGGATATATTTTACTAATTCCAACTACTAACCAGCCCAAGTAGTATGTTCCTGTCAGTTATGATATGCCAAACTCCTCTGTCTAACACATGCTCTGTTTCTCTATATCTAACTGACCTTTAAAACGTTAAATGTTAAATGCAATCAGTTGTTAAAGTTCATTTAGATAAAAATATTGTGCATACCACCTGCTTACTTCAGCTCATTATTTTTTACTTTTTGGAATCATTTTCGGCTACAAATATAACAAATCTTCTCAATAGGCTAGGAAAATTGTTTCTCTCATTAAAGGAAAGGAATAAATGAAGTCCGATACTACAATAATAGTTCAAAGGCAAGTGAAAAAGGTGGTTACTACGTTTCAAAGCATACTGAATGGTGCTATAAAAACAGTTTTTCTATTCTATATCGAAATGTTTTGAGGTTCATTTAGAACTTTTGTGTTATATTTAGTTTATAAGTAGATATATCACATATGTCAAAAAAGACATTTTTGAAAGAAATTTGATTTTAAGTGTTGAAAAGTGGTGACCCGTATTTAACTTCAGTTTGTATTATTTTCTTGCCCTTCGGGATCATTAATGCCAGCACTATTAAGTGTTCAGAATTGAGTACCGCTCAAGCCGGTGCTAAGACGGTTGAGGGATGTTGCACTTTTTCATTATCCCTCATGAACATACTCAATCAAACCGAGTCTGCAATTTTCATGTAATTTTGTTGTGATTATTGTTTCCGAGGGTAAAACTTTGTTTCCAGATTTTTATGCTTCACAACAATAAGTATCAAGTGCCGTTTGCAGCTATAAAAGGTTGCCCCGTACTTAAATTTAGTGTTGGTATATTGTCCTTGTCCTTCTGGATCATTGATGCCAGCACTATTAAGTGTTGAGAATTGAGTACTGCTCAAGCCGGTGCTAGGGGGCGTAAGGGATGTTACACTTTTTCATTATCCCTTATGTACAGACTCAATCAAATCGAGTCTACAATATTCATGAAATTATGTTGTTATTTATGCTTCCGAGGGGTCACTTTGTTTCAAGATTGAGATATAAATAATTGCTTAAAATTGTTTTGTACAAAAGTATATGATTTAAAACGACCAACTAAAATATCTTACTGTATATTTGACCAATTATTATAATAGCCGTTGGTTTATTTTTGCCAAAAACTTGATGAATGTGCATGCTTTTTATTTACTTGTTTTTTATATTCAGGACTAAAATTTACAAAATAAATTACGTCATTCCTAAGTAAATTATGTGTTGAATTCGAAATCATTTAAGATAACTTAATATAGTGTTCAACTTTGCTGATTTCAGTATTTCTATTTTTTTTCTTTTTAATTCATATTTTCGACTTTGAAAGACTTTACAATTATTTATAAACTACTGATATATTAAATAAAACGATATTTTAAGGAGAAAAAAAATGTGTGAAAGACCTTATGCCTCAACCCGTAGAGCTTCAGTAGGGCCTAGAGTTTGAGTCTTGGACAGACTCAATAGTTTAAAACACTGTGAAATTTGGCTACCAACATGGGCCAGTGAAGAGTCGAGTTAAGAGTCGTTGTGAAATGTTCTTTACAGGGATATTCGTCTCTAATTTGCATTTATTTAAAACGTTATTTTTGTCCACAACATTCATCTATAAGACAAACATTGAATACATTAAAATAATTGACATTTATGCACACAAGAGAAGACAAAAAGTAAGTTTTCAAAAAAATTGAAAAGATAATATAAGCGCGTTTAGTTCCCTCATGTCTTGGATATCAATGTTCTGAACACTTTCTAAAAAGGAAAAGAAAAACCGAAAGGCTGATTTTGAGTAACTATGCAATAACTTGATAGAATATTTTTCACACCTTCAAAAGCTTTCAGAGAAAGATATTCATCTTCGGGTTCTTAACATTGTGACAAGTTAAATATTGGCGGAATTAAAAGTAATACATTTGAAATCACCAGTACAAAAAGAAAAGAAAAAGTATTTGCGCAGGTCTCTTTAAATGTAAAATAAATTGTGTTTCTAGACCTTGATTTAAGTTTACATTGTATATTCACGTGTTCGTATTTGTATGAAGGGTTATAATGTAATTTGACTATGAAACATAAGTATAACATGGCGATTCCTGCATCTTCAATTTTAATTTTGCAACAACGCTTTTTGCCACTCACCGCTATGGGTTCGAATCATCCCGACAGAAACTTTGGATTATTTCATATGCTAAGCTTTCTAGCTAGCTTACGGAACGTCGATGGTTCACTCAGGTGCTTGTTCGTGTCTTGAATAATGCAATGAAGGGCACCTGAGCTCTTCCTCCACAAAAACGGATCATATAATTCTAAACAATTCTAACCTTTTTTTTATAAACAAACCAGTACAAATAGCGATTGACATACGTATGATTTGCATGAATGATTTATTAAGAAAATGGTTTTGTGAATATTTTCAAATTTATTTTATATTGTGTTGGCGTTATCTCATTTTTTTTCATCATCCTGAATATGATGTTAGATGCCATATTTCTTTTCTCAATATTTTTGAACATTTTTAAGTGATGAAAGTTTCAAAGTTCTTTAGCTTAATTGAAATTAAGTCAGGTAAGCGTTCTAAATAAATCTGCTTGATTCTGTAATTATGTTGGTATATATTATAAAATAAATATCGTACTGCCTGAATATGTACTTTGCTCAAATTGATAATTGAAAATTTTGGTTATTACTACACCGTATATCTTGGCGTCCGTGCCGAAGCGCGACGCCCCTTATGGAATGAAATCAGATTTTGTGAAAGGGCGACAGCAACTGCTCGGGCCCTTTCGTCGATCATAATAGCCGATCATTCCGATAGGTATGATGGTGTTTGATTATCATAAATGAAATGTCGCGAAAAATGAATAGCGAACTGGAGAATTTTGCAATGCAAACTTATTCAAATGAAATTAGCTTATCCGTCAATTAATCGCGCTCTTCGGGATTTTTATTAATATTAATCATTTTGTAGTACACACAGTGGGTTATTGTGTAATGTTGTACCTATAACTAGAATTATGACCTTAACATTGTGAAAGTCCGAAAATCTAATTATAGAAGTAGTTTTAGTTTAACGAAACGGTCATTCGTGTCGCCATATTGTTATAAATAACGAACTGGAGAATTATGCAGGAAATAAAATATGAAAAATTAAAAATATTCAAACAGCTTATTGCACTTATATAATTGCATGTATATTTTGGATTTTATCGTTAATCTCAATTTGATAGAATTTCAAGTTCCTGTGGAAACAAATCTAATTTCTAGCATGCCATTATCAAAACAGTCAAGTGTAGCATTACATTGAAAAAATATTAGAAAATGAATAGGACGAGAATATGATAAAGAATATGTACATAATATGCTTAAACGAATTGAAAAAAGAACAGGGGATATATAACAACACAAAACATAAGACATGCGTACACACAAAATAAAATTATACATGCCGGTTTATTACCCTCCTCGTGACAGATTCAGAGTGTTTAACATGTCACTTAATTTCAAATAAACCATGACAGCGCTAAAATTTGAGTATGAGTGAATAGCTTTCGATCCATTGGCTGACATTAGCGAACTGCTCGTGAATTGGAACTATTTACTTGTTGCAATAGACGAGTATTCAAGATATCCGATAGTAGAAATAATTAACAGTATTCCAACAAACATTATTAATAGCGGTGTTGACAAGATTTTGTCAATTTTTTGTATCATTATTTGAAGGTCTCTGCATAGACATTTGCTCTAGCAGCATATCATTGTAATAATTTTGGATGAAATATCATGTTAAATTCAATGTGAATTTTACATGATATTTCATCCAAAACTGATAACTGATGAACAATCTTTATTTATAGCGACACGAAACACCAAATGAAGACTGCCAATTTTGAACAGTCTGAGGAGTGGTCCACTACAAAATATGTCATGCCAATTTTCTAACTTCTATCCCCTTTGTCAATTCAGATAAGATGAGTTTAAAGTTTTTACTTTATTCGTGTAAGGCAAATCATTGACACATGGGTCCGAGACAATTTTAATTCCAGACCTCTAATTAGTATTTTTGTACTATTTCATTACATGTTGCTACATACAATATATCTAAGCTCTAGGCCATGCTCTCTCAGAGAAGAGGTTTTATTTTAGATTTTATTTCACAATTTTTAAACCTTCTTACGAGCAAAACCATTTGCACAATATAACTAGAGATTTATGCTAGAAACATTCAAGCATTTTTATACAGATTTGGCCCAGCGGTTTCTGAGAAGAAGTCGTTTGTAAAAAAAATGTTGACAGTGGACGCACGGATGCATTGACAGATGATGGACGTCGAGCAAATTGTAATCTCCAAAGCCAACCTTGATGACTTAAAAAGAATAACTTACAAATCATTATAATAATGTTTACAATACAATAAGTAGGCCTGAGTGGTTAATTTGTTCGCATCAAAACGACAAAACCGGCCGATAAACACCGCTAATACCGATATTATTTCGATACTTACAAGAGAAAAAAGGAAGATCACTAACGATATTTTTAAAGCGTAAAAAATACTTCCGGTGCCGATTTTCGTATAATGCTGTTCGATTTCGCACCCTGATGTAGCTAAGATATAGAAAATATTAAACAAAAGAAATAATAAGAAAAAAAGTTATTTTATCAAGATTTCAACAATAAAAACTTACGCCTTAGACTGGATTGCGTTTTGTTTACATCAGTGCCAAATCTATTATTCTCGTATGTTTGACATGGCGTCTTTGTTGCGCGTTTACGAATGAGTTGTATACTAAGGATGATGTAATTACGCTGCTTACGAATTGGTACCGTTTTGTCAGACTATTTATTAACTGACAAGGATTAAATCTGTAGTGTTAGTGTATATGAGATTGCATGAATGAAAACATTATAAGAACTGAAAATGTCAATAAAATGCAAATTGTCTCTTTAAAATGCTTTGTAAACTATATAATCGAGGGAGAGAGCATAACAGTTAAATTATTCATGAGGATCTTTGTGGGATATGTTTTGCCTGCTGGAACATATCTATTATAAGGAAAAAATTAAGGATATTTACAATGAATGTGAACCCTAGTCAATTTAAAGATATTATATGTACTTCAGAATGAGGGTTTTTAATACAAACAATGAAATGTTTATATTTATTGACATTTTATTGTGTGAGTAGAAATAATATTGATCAGAAAGTTATTCACTAATATTACTTTATAGTCCCATGTGTGAATTCAAGAAAATCATTGGAATGAAATAGACTAAACAAGAAATGTTTGAAATATAAAACTGCTCATTTATTTATAAACTATCTTTTAATTAGACTAAATGAAAAAAAATGAACACAATTAAGCGCCTGACATGTTTAGAAAGAACACAATTTAGCGCTACAACTGACAAAGAGCTAGTTAGGTTAACGCAATAACGAGAATGCTGAAAAGGAATGGTGAAACACAACAACATATCTATGTAATTCATACCTTGATAAGGGCCGAATAAAATGTTTCTTTGACGATTTCCCGCGTTGAAAGGGAAATTCAACGTCAGGACGATTCCATAACGACCGCACTAATACTCATTTGATACTGCGATAGGACGGCTTAAGTCATTGCCGAAAGGAAAATTACCGAAAATTTTGCTAGGAATCTTAGACAAAAGGTCTCAGTTTGAGTTATTTTCTTTTTTCATTTTAAAAAAAAACAAACATACTCTTTGTAGTATCATCGTACATGATGAACTTGAGCTGACCTATGTATAATGCTTGTTTGCGCATGCTCTGTATTTTCTAGTAAAATATCTAAGATCACATGTTAAGGGTTTACAGAATAAATTTATATCTTGTGCTGAACACTAGTCGTGTTTTATCTTACTTCATTGTATCCACGCACTTAGTTTAATTTCTATTAATTATTGTTTATAATAAATGAACATTACAACACTCTTAAAAGTCAAAAGTTTGCATGCATAATTCCTTAAGTTTTAAAGAGTAGTGGTGGTTAAAATGTGGTTTTATGCTGTATGCAGGGAAACAGGCAAAGTAGTTTGCTTTATTATCATTTAATAATTATTTATTAATCCATAAATATACATGGTTTATATATTGGTCAAGTGTAACGAGGTTACACGTGTGCCTTTTATTTTCGTTGGATTTGTAACAGGTTTATCGACGTTCATGCCTTATCAACAATATATAAAAGTTGCTATTAAAGAAACTTTGAAATAAGATTTTTTCCCAAAACGAACTTTTTCTAGTTTCTAAAGTAGATAATTAATTTCACTAAAGGCATTTCATGAAAATGCAGTGCAAGAACACTTACATCGATGCTCTTAGTTGAAATTGATGCAAAACAGTGCCCATTTAGATGGAGGCACAAGCTAATTTAAACCTGATTCCATGATATTTTGTCCCGGTAAACTACCCAATTACATGAAATCAGGCAATTATGTTGTCCCTTATTTGTATACAGAGATAAGAAAGTCTATTCAAAGAAATTGTAAATTAAGATATTTTAGAATAAAGCAATAAATTGAAATTGGTCACGAAGTGTTAAGCTTAATATGTACGTGAATGTTTTCATTTACTTTTGTTTTTAGTTACAAAATAAATTGTGTATTCTTCAGTAAATCATGCGTCTTATTCGAAATAATTTAAGAATCGATTGCTTCGCAACCGAATAAAAACAATTTTCAGTTTGATAGCTATTAGAAGAAAGGTCAATCTACAGAAGGATGATTAACAATACACAAGCCATACAATACGTTATGTAGAAAAGGGACAGAAAGGAAGTTAAGTTATCAAAAGGACATTCGTAGCTCATGCTATTGTCATCTTTGCTTTAAACAGATTCTCAAAATAACTCAAAACTTTGAGAATGCAATTACTTGCATAAGAAATTTGCTCACCTTTCCAATATGTCAGAGAAAGATATCCATCGCCAAAATCAGCAGATTTTGGCATTTCTAAATCGCAAGCCAATTCATCACTGCTGTCCGTACAGTCAGGGTATAGATCACATATCAGACGAAGAGGAATGCATTTGTTATCACCAGAACAAAGAAATGAATTTCTGCAGGACTCTTTAATGGTAAGAAAACATGTGTTTATGAACCTTGATTTAACAAAATAGTCACAGTATTGTAATAATCGTATTCCGGAACTTATAATAATATACATGTTTTTTAATGAAACATGTTATTGTATTTTGACTATGACAAAAATATTATTAGTTATAAAGATTTTTCACAGGTAATATAGCCCTATATAAACGGTTGTTTGAAAATACAAATCGAGCCACTAGGAGAGGGTTATATTGTAAACAACCGTTTATATACGGCCATATGCCCTATTAGAAATATTTATAACGAATTTATGATACAGCAAGCATCATCTTTAGAGGAATAAAGCGAGATTTCTTTATTATTTGTTGATGATAATAAAAAACCTGTTTTGGCTTCACACAAAGTAGATATTTTACGGTGTAAGTCACACACACTGTAAGTGGACACACTAGAACAATATAGTGACATTTAAAATCTGGCAGTTTTTTTTTAAAGAACCAGGGTTATTTCTAGTAACGAATGGAGATTCCAATACATAGTTGATACGTTTCTTTTATTTTAATAAAACAGCTTGTGTAGGAATTTTATAAATTTCAATAAATCTCTGCAATAAAAAATAGTTTATTCAAAGATGAGTCAAGTGTATCTTTTAATTAATTATTATAGTTATATAACATCGTAAACCAACCACAGTTATCTTCATCGCTATTATCCAAACAGTCAGGTATAGCATTACAGTGTTTTTCTGATGGAATGCACTGTTTATTATCACAAGGAATTTCATTTTTATCACAGGTTTGGTATTCTACAAATGTTTGTAAAACGATCAATATGAAATTAAAGTAAAACATGCAAAATCAAATAAAGCTTTAAATTCTGAACTTGGCATGTACTCGTAAGTTAGTTACACAATAAATTGTGGTTTTTAATATTAACATCAAATAATATTTCACAACGTTTTTTTCGGAGAGTTTATGCTTTCACAATTTGTTTCATAAAATTATCATTGTTGACGTACGCCTCTAGGAAATGTAAGTTTTCAACGTATCACCAAAATCATTATTATTGAAAGCACTTATCGTAAGTTATCATGATATTCATCATAAAGCATTTGTATTTAAAACAATAATATCAATTTCCCTAATAATATACATTATATTCACAAGTATTTCGTATATATAACCATTTACTGTGTCTCTAGAAATTCGTTATATGCTTGCTTGAATGTTTAAATAAAAATGTAAAATGAACGTCTTTAGGATCGGACGCCAAGTCAGAAAAATCTTTTAAAATTTCATTTATCTGAATTCTATTTTTACTATTTACCACATTTTTCATCTGTACCGTCCACACAGTCGGATATAAAATCGCACACGTGACTTAATTTTATACAATGTCCGCCATCACAAGAGAATTCGTTGTCATCACATCCTAATAAATATATAGTATAAATTAAAAATAAAGTTATAGTACATCATAATTCATAATAAGAATAAATAAATGTACGAATAAACATGTCATCCTATGATAGCATTGCTCTTCTCTTGAAAAGCGGACATGTTTAACTTCATAATCATTTCATATTCCTTACAAAGCAGATGTAGTGTAAATAAATAAATAAACACCAAGTCACTGCTTAAATACTGAAAAGTAAGAAGCTCCCTAAAGTCAAACAAATTCAAACAATTCAAAGTTTATGTCGAAAGAAATTAAATCGTTAACTCTGTTTAATAGATAGCGTTCAACACAACCGCTTAACGACAAAACACCTACCGATTATTTGTTTCAAAACATAATTACTAGTATTCCTTTATTTCAAGTATGTGCGTAAAAGTAACATGGCATAAACAAATTATTCGTTTGCAAAATTCAGAATGTAAATGGGAAATATAATGGAAAAGTGTAAATTCAGAAGACAAAATACCAATTTTATCGTGAGAACAATGGACTTCGTCTGAAGCATCGAGACAATCTATGACGTTATCACATTTAGCGAATGTAGATATCCACTCTTTGCTATGTTCACAGGTGAAATATGCCTCGCGAATTAGTCGTTTAGGTAAATGAGATTGCATCATTGGTTTGCCAATAATCGTGAGATTGTGATCTTTAAACAAAAAATCATGAAAATCAATTTCCGATTCATGATACCCCAAATATCACTCACCTGACTTTTTCGGCTCTATAATACATGTAATGTATGAAAACTGATTGTTAAAAAGCAATTGTTGGTACTGAATTTGAAATGACAATTGTAGCTACGGAAGTTATTTGTAAGTCAGTTACGTCGCTAGATGCAAAGGAAGGTCACAAGTTGTTTGTTAACTTAGAAAAGTGAACAGTCACTGCCAAACTCCCTGGCTGCAATGGGTAGTCAATGCTTATCTAAAATTCAATGGTTGTGATAGAAATAATCTTGTTACTACAGAAGTCAATAATTGCCGTAGAAAATCAACGGTTATGTTGATAATGTTTCTTCAGAAAGGTCAGTTTCTTCTATGAAAGCAACGTAAATCAAGTTTTTATCTTTAAAAATAGCGAAAATCATTACCTTCAAGCAGAGAAAAATATATACTCAAGGGCCAAAGTTTCAACAAGTTTATACAGATCCATTTGACGATATTTCATACCAAACATCTAAGAACAAGTATTTTCGGGTTCAGAGGTGAAGATTATCAAGTTTTCTCTACATGACATATGCAATTTTTATTGAAAAAAAATGAATCTTCTGACGCATGGTCAAATGTTACCAAAACGCTATATGGAGTGAGCACACTTGGTCTACAGAAATTGTTTCGAACAAAATATCTAAGCTCTAGCTTGAGCGGGATGAGAGCCGATGTTTGTATATATATATATGTGTGTTTAGATATAAATATTAAGGAAATCCCTTGACGCCGTGGTGGGGCGAATTTTACAATCATGCTATATTTTGAGTTGTCGCAATTAATCCGATGTTGCATGCAAATATCTGTTTAAAAAATAAGGTAAACAATGTTTATCACTAGTGCTTCATATATCAAACAATAAAATGTAATGTTAAATGTTTTAAATATATTGCAAACGAAAAATAAATAAATTGTAAACGAAAAAAGATAGTGCTGGTCCAATTTTGCCCATGTGTAAACGTGCTTATAATCGAGTTTGAAAATGTATATTTAACCTCTTTTTAGCTTATTTATCTTCATACAAATTATTGTTCTAGTTGTTGTGTCATAAAAAAGCATTTCTCTGGGCTCTATAAGATTTATTTGCTACCAAACTGTCGTCGATAAACAGAGAGTATATTCAGACAACTACAACTGACGGCATACGAAAGATTGATTGCCAAAGTGAACTAGCCTATTGAAAGAAAATGGTTTCAAAATTTAAGTGTTGAAGGGAACTAAATACAACATTATCTGAAAAAATTCTGAAAGCAAAATTATGAAAGAAGTGTCAAGTACATCAGCTTATCCAATTAAAATGCGACAAAATCAGGTTTTCAACCACCAAGTATTGATGTGACAGGAATAAGGATTGAAATATGGCAGTGAAGAGAAAATGATGTTGTTTTTGAACAAACACAATAAAGTGGTTTCCCTTGTTCAAAATAAAAATATAACAGATACCTGAGTATCAATGCCAGGCTGCATTTTCATGTAAGCTACACCAATGCTAAGTTAAGTATCAAAGGTCAAAGCGTACTGAAGTTATTGAGTAGAAGCTGAAAATTCTATTGTAAACAAGTAACCTTTACCTTGCTCAAATATATCTTAGTAGCAATCCCAAGCTGCATCTTAATATAAGATGCCCAAACATCATGTTTGGTGTCAATAGGTCACAGCAAACTATAGTTATTACGTGGAAACAAAATTTTATTTTTAAGCAACAGTGACCGTGAAGTAGCTCGCAGAAACCTGGGTAGCAATCTCATGTTGCCTCTTGATATAAGCTACCCACATACTTAATTTGGTGTCGATATGTCCTAGCAAACTCAACTTATTATTTTAAGACATAATTTCTCGTTTTAGCAACAGTTGACGCCCGCTCGCCCAAGTAGTGTCTTGATCAACTTGATTCTTAGTTGATTCCACATTCTTAGTTTTGTGTAAATAGGTCAAAGCAAACTTAAGTTAATTGAGTTGAAACTTAATTAATAACATAAGCAAAAGTGACTTTGATCAAACACATCTGGGTAGCAATCCCAGACTGTCTCTTGATATAAGCTACCTATACTCCAAGTTTGGTGTTAATAGACCTTAGCAAACTAAAGTTATTGAGCGAAAACTTAATTTCTATTTTTAGAAACAGTGTCTTTGACCTTGATCACACACACCTAAGTAGCAATTCCGAGCTGCCTCTTGATAAATGCTACCCCAGATACACCATGTTAGGTGTCAAAAGGCCTAAGCAAACTCAAGTTATTGAGCGGAAACTAAATTTCTATTTTTAGCAACAGTGACCTTGATCACATATATCTGGGTAGCAATCCTAAGCTGCCTCTTGATATAAGCTGCGCATACATAAGGTTTAGTGGCATAAGGCCTGCGTAAACTAAAGTTTTTTAGAGGAAACCTAAATTTCTATTTTTGACACAGTGACCTTGACCTTGATCACAAACACCTTGGTAGCAATCCCAAGCTTCCTTTTGATATATGCTACCCCGGATACACCAGGTAAGGTGTCAAAATGCCTAAGCAAACTAAAGTTATTGAGCGGAAACTAAATTTCTATTTTTAGCAACAGCGACATTGACCTTGATAACAGATATCTTGGTAGCAATCCTAAGCTGTCTCTTGATATAAGCTGCCCAAAAACAGGTTTGGTGGCATAATGCCTGAGTAAACTAAAGTTATTGAGCGGAAACAGAATTTATAGTTTTAGCAACAGTGACCTTGACCTTGATCACACATACCTGGATAGCAATCCCAAGCTGCATCTTTTTATAAGCTAACCATACACCAAGATTGGTATAAAAATGCCTAAGCAAACTAAAGTTATTGAGCGGAAAATGAACTTCTTTTTAAGTCACAGTGACCTTGAAATTTATCACAGGCACCTGGGTAGCGATACCAAGCTTTGACGTGTTATAATCTACCCATACACAAAGTTTGGTATCAATTGGCCGAAGCTTACTAACGTTATTGAGCGAAAACTGAATTTCTATTTTTAACAACAGTGACCTTGACCTTGGTCACAGACACCTGAGTTAAAATTCCAAGCTGCGTCTTGATAGAAACTACCGATACACCGAGTTTGGTCTCAATAGATATAAGCAAACTAGTTAATTGAGCAGAAACTGATTTTCTTCTTTTAGTAACAGTGACCTTGATCTTAATCACAGACATCTGTGTAGCAATCGTAAGTTGCCACTTGATAAAAGCCACCTATACACCAAGTTTGATTTCAATAAGCTTAAGCAAACTCAATTTATTGATGGAAACTAAATTTCTATTTTTAGCAATAGTTACCTTGAGCTTAGCCACAGATACCTGGGTAGCATTTCAAAGCTGTATCTTGCTTTAATCTACATACACACCACTTTTGGCGTCAAAAGGTCAAAGCAAGCTCAAGTTATTGAGCGAAAACCAAAGTTGACGCCCGTCCGCTGACTTCGGCATTACAACTACCCGGTTTTCGTTGTAAACCTAGTTAATAAGCGCAAGGCAATATATTATAAGCTTTTTCTATTACTCCAAATGCTTACAGTTATAATGAAAATTATCACTTCAGGTGAAGCTACCTATTATTTAGACGATAGTTATTGACAAAGAAATTTATGCTTAATTAGGTAAGGGACTCACTGCAGTTTGTCAAACACAATGTTCTGGCCACTGCTTCATGGTATAGACTGGTGTGTCCTCTAGAGCAAAACGGAGATTCGAAATATCGATAAAGGAATAAAGGTGAATTCTGAGTAATATTTCAACAAAGTGATAACAAAGGCCTTTTTGAGAAAGGAAGACAGATGTTTCCAAGTGTGTTTCCCAAGGAAAAAAGGCCATGACATTCCATCAGGACACTGCATCTAGCCACTCATCTGATTAGAAAAAACACTTTCTTTTTTAAGACAAGCATCGTCGCATCAACTTTAAATCGTCTGAGATGCGGATGGCAAAGTAAAAGTTTGGGACTTTGGTTTTTTAAAGAAGCGGCAAATAAACACGATGGTCAGTCTCAAAACATGCACTGAAGTACAAGTAGCGCACGATTTATTGGGAGACGATATACATAACTTTTAAATTAAAACCAAAGCGTTGACGTATTATATAAAAGTGATATGGATCTCATATTTAGCATTTAATACAATTAGGTTTTTAATAAGACTTTGTTGAAGTTTTCTTTCTTGTCAAAAATTCTCATACACGCCATGGAAACTTAACTTAAGAACAACAATATCATGAGTAATATAATGAAAACAAATGCAAACCTTTAATTTTGTTCTGACATGACAATTCATCCGTAAAGTCTAAGCAGTCAAATGTCCTATCACACCAATTCATTTTCGGTATTGAAGAGCCAACGACGCACTTCATCTCGGGCACCTTCATTTTAGGCATAGGGAGGTTACTTTCAACTGACGTGTAAATGAAAATTAAAATCATTTAAACTGATTTATGCATATCAATCGTTTTGAATAATTATATAAAAATAAACAGAAATGATGTTGCTGTTTGACTTGACATAGATTTTATATAACATCAATTCAATACGTGTACTGTGTAGTGTAAAATTGGTAAAATTGATGTTGCACACATATAACATAGGGCATGACAGTTTAAATTGTATTTACAGTAATTATAACAGGATAATTGCAACTTACACCAAAGGCTTGAGCAATAATGTAATCCAGATGTCTATTCCTGCATTCATATTGGTAAGTTATAGTATTTACAACTATTTGTTTGTTTGTTTTGGGTTTTACGTCACATCGACACAGAATAGGTCATATCGCGACATTCCAGCTTTTACTGGTGGAGGAAGACCTCAGGTGTCCTTCCGTGCATTATTTCAGGCACGAACGGGCACCTGAGTAGAACCACCGACGTTCCGTAAGCTGGATAGCTTCCTCACATGAAAGAATCCTATGTCCCTTTCGGGATTCGAACCCACAGCCGTGAGGGGCAAGTGGTTTGAAGTCAACGACCTTAACCACTCGGCCACGGACGCCCCTATATACAACTATAACCAACAGATAAACTATCCAGTGTGTCATATCACCTATTTGTGTGTGTTGGTAGTTTGACACTCCGGATCACGGCAGTAAGCCACTTTGAATTCACCACCGCATCGTTCCTGGGTAGGCTGTCAATCAGTTTACCAGTACTAGTTGCCTTCATTTTTGCAAGGAACTGAAACTTATGTACATACTAGAGCAGAAATATAGTGCGAATGACCGTAGAAAGGATTTCATGATCAATCACAACGAAAGTTACCTGCGCCGTCCGAAAATCGAACCCGGGTCGCCCGATTCACAGTCCAACACTTTACTTATTCAGCTAACCGGACGGCTACTAACCTATTAGTCAACTATTGCTATATAAACTGCATTTATTTGAAACATGATTGAAACATTATATTAAGTATATGAATATAACTTGCATTGCAAAAAGCACGGCTCCCGCATTAATTTCTCAGAGTTACCGACATAGCACCATGGAATATCTTGTTCAGAGGGATCTCTACACAAAGTGTCCCTTAAGGCGGAAAAGCTGGTATCAAAATCACGTTTAGCATTGTCAGATAGATTAAACCAATTCTGACAATTTCTACCAGAGTATGGTAATGTCTTCAGGTCTTTGTCTTCATAATTATTACACACATCTTTCTTCATGAAATTTCCTAGAAAGCATATTGATTCACAAATAGATTTTATATTCAATACAAAATATGATTTTAATTTGTCTATGAATTCTAGTTGAGTTTTCTAACTAGACAAATCAATCATATTGCTATTAAAATCTTGCAAGACGGACACACGTATTTGCAAACATTACAACAATGACGTATAGGCATAGTTTTCGCTTTAACTAATACAATTTTATAATACAGTTATTTTTTTAATCCCTACAGATGAATAAATGGAATAATTGAAAGAAATATATGCCACATACTGTCATTTCTGTAGTTCGATGAAAACGGTCTTTCACAGATGAAAAACATGACAAATTGTTTATAACAATCTTCAGTCTCCCAAAGCTCTTCGGTGTTAAAGTACATGAATGAGGTACGTGCACAATCTCCAAATGAAGGTTCACTTTTTTTCCTGTCATTTTATTGCTTCATAGCAGTTAACCATATCATTACAAATAATCATACATATTATACATATTATACTGAAATAAATAAGGTTGCGATCTTAAAATGTTTGTATAAAAAAGTTCGCATTAAGAATTTAATGTGTAGTCTTTTACTGGCGAAATATACCATTTAAGATTCAAGCATGCGTTTTTTCATCATCTTATGGTTTTATCTAAAAGTATATAATATATGAGGTGAAGGTTTTATAAATTGTGATAAAATTATTGCCCATAAATGACAAGGAAAACAGAACTCAGCTTTCAATTACCAATTTTTTATTCTCTACATTACTAGGTTTAGGTAACATTGCACCACCTGCTTCATCTTGAAACCAACCAAATTATTTTTATTATGATAATTCATTGATTACAAATTTAATATTACTTTATACTGCTTAGCACTTGAAATAAGTTACATTGTTCTCTGTCTTTGACATTGGCCGAAGTCAACCGATGTTGAAGAGATAGTTTCTTAAAACTATAAACATCAGGGGCCGTATTCACAACCTATCTTAAGTTTTTGTTTGACTTAAATATAAGATTTTTCTTATATTTTGAGAAATTTTCTTAGATTTAAGATAAAAATCTGCAATTTACTTAAGTGGTATTCACAACTATTTTTATCTTAAGTTTTGTCTTAAGATTGACAACATTTGTCTTAAATTTAAGTCAGCTACTACCCTATCCTAAAGTTAAGAAATTTCTCAACTTGGCCGTAGATTATCTTAAAACATTGCGGACGGTAAATCGTCGATTCAATTGAAAACTTGTGTTTTTAACTGCCATAAGATATTTCATTGAGGTAATCAACGCCAATTATTACAGCAATAATGATTTCGTTCAAAGAAATTTATACACACGATATATGTGAGTAAAAACAAGGAAGTTAAATCGGCAAGAATTGAAGGCACAAAGGAGACAGTCATTCACAAACCGGAGAAAAACCGTCAGTTTCTTGCTGGTAAGTACTTGTAAACAAAACATTTGTGCATAGGAAAATGCAAATGTAGGTTTTTGTGTTGTTCTTAAAGAAAAACATAACTGCTAAACGCGTATGAGTGTTCATTTGGAATGTCACTTGTTTTCTCGAGAATCACTTAAATGACATTATTTCTTAGCTAATAATTGCAATGCCCAGGGGCCTATTTTAATTGAACAATGTACATATACAAATTGAGAATGTTCCTTTGTTTCCTTTGTGTTTATTGAAAACCTAAAAAATACTGAATTGATAATGATTTGCTCCACTGATGATTCGCCCCATAACGTTTTGCCCGACTTCAGTGATGATTCGCTTCAGATTAGCGACGGTTTGACCCCTTTAGATCAATCATTTTAAACGTGCTTTAGGTTATCAAAATTTAGAAATGAAAAGATTAAATGATAACCGTTAATTTGTGAAATGAAATGTTCTTTGTATCAAGCAGATGGGTATCCATACGGGCCCGTACAGCGTGTCAAATGTTCTAGCTGTACAAGAGTCACATACGTTTAGCCTATACTCACTGTTGTGGCTAGCCGTACTGTATTGTTCAATAGCAGATAAATGCAATGATGAAGTCTGTAATTTGCAGGTCTTATTACATTTTTTGCAATGAATGAACACTTATTTTTCTTAATACTATTACCGATGATGTTCGGCCATTTATATTATGACAAGATATCGGATAAATCTATCAAAAATAAATTCACTTTTAATTGAAGAGTTTTTGTTAGCCAATGGAAATTCTGTAAAATATTATTTTATTATAAAAATACTTTGTTATGATCTAACTACCGGTGGATCTGAAGAATTTAATGTCATTTATACAGTAGCATTCATGTGCAGACGTAAAAAACAGGTGCGCTGCATATTGTAATGTTGAGGTGACAACCAGCTTGTCATTTTCAATGCCTGGTAAAAGTGTTTCAGATGAAATTTGTATTACATTTTATTAAAAATCTATTATAGATATTTTCCATACAAATGATATAAAATAATGTTAAAGTTTATTCTTTTTCATATTTTTATTCTGACTTTAGTTATTAACGTCCTTGATTTTCAGAAAAAAAAACAATTTCCAATCATTGAAGGCTTAAAAGTAATATTACCCCCAGTAATTGATAAAGTTTGCACGTTATTTAATAAAATCTTCTTTTAGAAACACAAATTTGCGTATTCATTATAGTTTTACTTTTAGGTTATTATTTTATAAAAATGTACGAGTAGCCTAAACAGTGGGTATAGGCTAGTCGTTAGTGGCTCACATGCGGCTAGAACATTTGGCTAGCAGTACGGGTCAATACGACTAGCCACTGCCTTGTATCTAACTCTAAGAACAGAAATTGATCATTTTAATTGTTAAGTTATCAATATTACAACTGATAACGATTCGCCTCACTTCAATAATCATCAGTGCACCATGTTCTTAATTATTTTCGTTCTAAAAGGTGTATGTTAGCATAAAAATACAAGAAAGTACAATTAACAACCATGTATAACAATCAATCTGCTTTAAGAAGCGAATAATTATGTGTAAATTAAACAATTATCATTTATCAATAACAATTATTTAATTCATTAATTTTAACTCTGAAAGTAAAATAAATATAAAAATGATATTAGTAATTGTAAGTTCTATCAAACTGATATTTTTCCATTCTATCTCTAAATAAAATGTAATCTATAAAAAGTATGCTAAATTAATGCAGAAAATACCCAAACCCTGTTTTTTCTATCAAAATGAATTAAAACATGTTGATGAAAATTGAAATATAAGCTGGGACGAATCGTCACAAAAGTGGGGCAATTCTTTACCAAACTACTCAGGCACTCTTCGGGATTTGACCACTTAACTTCTTGATAACAAAGGGATAAAAGGTTAATCCAACAGCAAGGTTATATAGTATTATACACCTACATTCACGAAACATGTTGATTTTTTTTTATAAATCACTATAGCCCAACATATTGTGCACCATGGTTCGTTTTATAAACAATGATCACCGACATCTATGTAAAACAAGTTTGTAAAATCTGTCCGAGTGTCTTGTCATCAAAATATTGAGCTTACAAAATTTACTTTTTTATTATCAAGTAACAAAAAAATAATTTTATCGAGATGAATAATAATGTTGAACGACCTTAGTATTTTTAGTTCAAATACTAGTAAGGTTACTTTACCTTTTGATAAAAAGACAGAAAATATTCAAATTTAATTTCTATATTAAAAGATTTAGATTATATTTTATTAGTGAGAGTAATAAGGAAAAAACCCTAAACAAAACGGTTCTTTTAATTTAAAGGAAAATGATATGCACACTTATACACTTTGACTAAGTGTTTCATAATATTTTGTTCAAAGTCGCTTTTATAAATTATATAAACAATCCCATTAAGATATACAGTTTAAATTATTGCATTGTAAAGTAGCAGTTATTTTTCAAAAGGCGTCCCAATCTAACACAGGGATTTCAAAGAAAAATAGAATTATGATGGGATGAAAAAGCTCAATGACTATTTCTATGTATGTCAAATCTCAATAGTCTATTTATGAAAGGTTTTTAAAAAATCAGACATTGAAAGCTTACAGTTGCTGACTCTGAAGCATCAGCTTAACAGTTTGGTTTAAGTTTTCCATGGACCATCAACATTACAAACTACTTGTGGTATTCAATTGGAACTTAATACACATTTTGGATCATAATTAAATTGGTGGTCATTATCCAAGGCTCATAACTCTGGCATTAATTTTGCCAGAATTATAGCCCTTTATGAACTAGAAATTCCTGGTTTAAGTTTTTCATGCTACACTAATCTTAAAACTACTGCAGGTATTCACTTAATATTCGGGATTATAACTGGAGATCACTATCAAAGGCCCATAACTCTAGCATGAATTTTTACCGAATAAGCCCCAATTTTCTTAAAGTAGATAGTTCAAACCTATGAATATTTCATACATGCAGTTCAAAGTATTGCCAAATATAGACACCATTATTATTATCATATTGTCTGTTCTAAGTTATTGAACACAAATTTGTGTTGTGCAGTGTTGTTCATGGTTTGACACTCAACCAATCATAACAATATCCTTCTGTAATATCATATTTAGTTAAGGTGAATTTTCACATTTGTGATGCGAATTCCCATTTAAAAATGGGGTTTTTGTTATGGTGTGAATAATTTTATTACCAATGAAACACATTTTTTTATATTTTATATTTACCTCACTAAGTGACAATATAATTATGCTCAATTTATTTGTTTGAATGATATTCAGAATGATTTTGAGTTAAAACTTAAAACTAAAACGGCATTGTTTTATTCATGTACTGTACCTACAATTTTTTAACATTTTTTTATTTTCAGATGATATCACACTATTCATAAACCTCGGATGTTGTAGTCATCCAGACTGACAGTAGTATGGAGAAAAAAGATATCAACATGATAAGTACTGATTTTGGGTCAAAAGGTCAAGGTGATGGGTCACAATGACCTTTGTTAATATTTCTATTAAATTTATAATGTCAAAAACTGCGCAGTTATGAAATGTGGGCACACCCTGCTAAGTCACGGGTAAAGGTCTATATGACTTCTATTCAAATTATATATTTTTGTAGAAAATATGTGGTTTACTATCTAGATAAGTACTGAGAAAGTGGAGTGCACTGCTCCTCTGACAGCTCGATCTTACTTTTTTTGCTATCTTTTAACCATTAATAAAAATTGTTTAGAATTTGTGATCATTTGAATGATATTTTCTGTATAAATAAAAAACAAAATAAAAAACTTATGACTTGTTTACAAACTAAAGGATTTAGAATCACACAAGCCAAAAATCGTGAAATGTTATTTAATTGCCTTCTTTTTGTATTATTTTAAAATAAATTTTATTGCAACATTTCAATGAAAATAATGGAATTTTAACTATATGTCTGTCCTATGTTCAAATGTCTATGCATTTACTAGTTTTACCTTAACCGTTGGCTTCATACATTTATTTATACAAATTTAAGTCCATGATCTTTGCAAGTCATTTCACTGAGGCCTCTTCTGCACCCCATCCCCCTCCATTATTTAATTTGTTATCCATTAAGATTCACGTGATGTAATGGCTAGCCTACTCCCTCAAGTTCAATCAATTTATATGTGCTATTAGTTTTCTGCCAATACATAGGCCATGACCATGACAAGAAACATAAATAACGAATCCATTTCCCCTTTTTAGACTATAAAACTTAATATAGTTTTCTAAGATATAGATTTTCATTTTATAAATCATGTTGCCATCCCTTCCACATTATCTGAACCTTTAATTTTTATATGGTACTTTGACATGTTTTCATCTCGATTTGACAGCGTATAAACACCGGCTTTAATTTTAAACATTGAAGAGCACTTCCGTTACTATTTTTAGTAACGGAAAAAACACTTTCATTACCAAGCGACTTAAAAAATTTAAGTTAAATATATAGTATATAGTATAAGGTATATATATAGTTTTACTTACGTCAGTTTCCGAATATGACTCAACTTAAGATAAAAAAATCTTAGCTAACAGTTTTTTCAACTTATGTTTTAACTTAAGATAAAACTTAAGAATACGGCACGAAACCAAAATTACACAATTAACATTTTGTTTGCCATGTATATATGCAACCAGTGTTCACCTAACAAGTACATAAATGAAGTCGCACGAATTGCCAGTAATTAACTTCTAATGTTCAGAGTATAAACAGTTGGAGACATAAAAGTATTGGGTTCAAAACTTGTTTTAACTATGACAAAATATTACCAAGCGCTGTAAGTTACGTTTTTGTTATTCATCCATATGAAATTCATTCTCATTTGTCTGTTCTCTACACGCCGTAAACCTTAAAAAAAGGTAAAACCGTATTTTTACAGATATGAAAATACCATATCTTTGATTTAAAGCCAAGAAACGTTTTTATGAAGTTACTTTCCTTCAATATCGAAAGGTTATTGTGAATGGACACCAAAAACAAACACCATGTTGATTCATTAGCCCCTGATTTCGAGTATGCGTTCCATGCTTTGCGTAATATTATATTAATTTGACCGCGAACCCTTACGGTAAGTAAGATGAGAGGCTTAAATAATTAGAGGGTAAGATTTTATTGATTTTCGAGTCTATAAGAATGCGGGATGTATTATTTTTCCGCCCGCTAATTAGTAGTCATTATTGGAATGGTATTTTCCAATGATTTTTATATTTTATAAATAAAATACAGTCAAGTATTTTATCATTTTCGTTTGTCATAATACCATTGGCTACCATTTTCGTATTTTGTGTAATTCACCTAGTACCATAAAAACGTGTAGAGGCTTTAAATATTTCAAGATATCTAACATCATTTAAATTTGTTTGATGTAATCATATAGTCATATACATGAGATCAAAGTTCTGACAGTGAGGATCAACAAAACCTGCAAATTATATTTAACAAAGAACATCTATTGATGTTGCTTTAAATTGAGACAGACATATAATTTTTAGTTCAACCATTTTTTTTAGTTTTCACTTCAACAATAGTAAATGTGTTATGAAACTAAGACAGCATTTATGTCACAGTCCACCTGTGCTGACATAATGCTTTTGAAAACAATACACCAGAACATTGCAAAATTTGTAAATAAAATACAAGATATTTAAAAGATATTTTAATTGAATATAACTCACGCGCAAACACACGCGCGCATACACACAATTGTTCCGTACACACACTTAGAGTAGAAAAGGAAAACAAATAGATAATAACATGATAACAGCACGTTCTAAGTGAAAAAGTTACCAATATGTGCTCCATTCCAATATGGATCATCAGCGTTATTTATTTCAAAATAGCGTGTCCGAAACGCTAAACTTCGAAGTAAGTATTGGACATAATTCATTTCTTTTCTTGATGCAATTGTCACAAGATGTTCATTGTCATTATGACAATGATGGTTTGCACCATCCCAAGTTTTCCCTCCATCGAATACTGAGTAGCATTTTCGGAAAACCATTGAACAAGCTTAAATTTGAAGAAAAAAATCATGTTCAATTAAACAATAATTTAATTGAACTTTTATGCAATATTTAATAGCAGTTTTTTTCTCTTCATTGTTATACGAATGACACCGTTTTGTAAAGAAATATGAAAAAATTACTATTAGAACGACATGTGGGGTAGAATTGTTTTTAAATAAATGTTTTAATCATTTTGATCAATTTTAAATTTTAACTATTCTTTCAACAGCGAAAAAATGAAATTCCTTCACATCAGATATTTGCCATGTACATATCTATCTGTCGTCAAAAAAGTAAGAAGATTCCGGTTAATAACTGATAAATAAGCATGATTTGTATAGATAAACAAACAATCTATAGGCATGTATATTTAATTTATCTTACATACCTGATATTCTATTGAGATAATTATCCTCACCCACAAAAGTGTACGAGTATGTAGAATATCTTTGAAGAGAATGGTTCGACATTTTATAATGTATCCTAAATCCGTAAGAGATCCTATTATTTTGCATTTGAATACCAATCTCAGTCCATTTTGATTTGTATTTCTTGTAATTCTCTTCATTATCACAATTAATTTGGATCATATTATCAACATCCGTGATGGCGAGGTTTAATGAATAATCTGCAAATATGTATTAACAGATGCTTTGTTACACGGGACAGATTACTCAGAAATTTTTACAAAAATGGCAAAAATATTTTGCAAGAATGCTAATAAAAATAAGGTGTGCGTTGGCTTAAATGGAAAACAATATAATAAAGGTTTTAGCTTGCAGTTTATAGTGATATTTAAGTAACTTTGACAGCATTTCTTTAATCTGCGAATGACGAAACAACGACAAATAACTTTTGTATTGGGCCATATCAACCTCACGAGTTCCCGATTTCATCTTCGTGATTTCACATTTCTAACTTTTACGATTTCACTATTTCACCTTCACAGATTCACGATTTCAATTTCATTAATTCATTTAGATATCACGATTTGAACTTTATTAATGTCTCTTATTTGGCTTATCATTTAAAATATTATAAAGATATAAAACAAATAACATGATTCAATGTATACGCAAAACAGGAGAGAGTACATGTACTTTCCAATCGTCAACCGCAAATGTTAATTCATCGCTGTATAGCCAAATTTATAGTAGAATTAACTTAAATATGACAAACAAGATCAACAAGAAAAGACGGCGTTCAATGAAAGCAACTAAAAACATTGTATATGATGAAATTGTAATTGTAAATACATGAGTGTAAAACAGATCAAATATGGGCTAAAATGCAAATCGAGAGGTATTGTGCTAGAATACCGCGTTGCATTGTATCAAAAAAAAATATATTTGAATATAACGTTTCGGTTTTTGTCTACATGCTACAGACTATGTAGATATATGGATGTTTTACATGCTTTGTGCACTGACCATTAATTTGCAATTGACGTATTAATACATCCGTGAAATAGAACATTTAGTAAAACTTTCCTTTTTTTATGTTATTTCGTCAAATGTCTGACTTGTGTTGGATTAGCCTTTTCTTTCCTCTTATAGGAAATAGGCAATTCAGGAGTTAATCTTCATTCGTTATTTATATATACAGAATTCGTTTTTGCAAGAATACGGAATTTCGAATTTAAGCTATATACGGACTTGTTATAAAAATTCCGTATAGAAGTAAAATACGGACTTCGCACATCAAAGTTCCCGTATATTACGACTGAACGGATTATTGTATACGGAATTCCGTACACTTCCGTTTATCCATATGTTTTTTTCGCAGTGGAAATCGCAATAAAAATACCAAAATCCACCTAACCTATAGTGTCAAGAAATGCCTCCGACTGAGGCATAATTAGACGTTTGTACACGGAATTAAAAATCGTTGAACCAATCCCTTTTTACTTATAAAATTTGAGTTTGATACTTATATGTTTGTGCAATGTAGATGTTCTATCTTCAATGACTCTTAAATATGAGTGGGCAACAGTCGATTGAAAATGCCTTACGATAATTAAAGACATTGCGATCAATTGTGCCCTTAGCTTTGGTTCCCTGTCTAAATATGGCTCGTCTTTAGAAATTAGACTGGCTCATGTAATTTATCAGGTTTATAAAAACGATAAAAAAAAACTAATATAGTATTCAAATATGGCACTATCTAACTTAAGTTAAACGTGTATTTCAATTCTTTAAAGCTCGGTGACATATTAAACATCAGAAAAGCTATTATAAGAGAATCTGAAAACATTGTAATTTTGTTACAAAAGAAATAACCAAAGTAAGAATAAAATTTCTCCACTGCTGAATCGGCGAAATCATATCTACGTGCACGCGGTGGATAATGAAAGTGCCCAGTCAAAAACATATCCGGCACGTATGATTGTCAGGTGGTTATTATTAAAAGTAAACAGTATCATTCATTACATTACACTACATACCACAAGGAATCCGTCCAATAACATTATATAAGCTCGAGTTTATTATTTCTAGAATAAAAAATTATCTGAAGTTGTTAAAGATTTGAATATACACTTACCTTTTACATCTGAACAAAATGGTTCAATATATATGAAGGTTAAATCAATGCTTTGATGTTCCCCGGCTCGAATTATGAACACTTCTTCACAATGTTGACAAAGATTCAAAGCCGAAAGAGACGTAAGGATCATGGTTGGCTCATTGCAAATTTCTATCCGTCTTTTAGTTCTTATAGATTGTCTGAGAGAATCGATTGAAAGGCAGGCTGGGGTTTCTAAAGGAAATATGTATGCTATGTAGTCTTATGACAATATAAAAAATAAAACATTTTGGAACTATTACATTTGCATGATAAACTGTGTATAATTAAATGTATTATAATAGAACATAACACTAGTTAGAATTGTATCTTGAGCGCAACGAGTTTTAAGAAAGGTTATTGTCACTAATAGATTGAACACAAGAAAATCGGTAAACATGTAATATTTGTAAGGTTTTCGTTTTTGTACAATATGTAAAATTATTTTGAAAAACAACAATTTTCATCAGATCTAACATAAGCAATTTATGACTAAATGACTTAAAACGGGCAAACCCGCCAAATTTTATTTGGTAGATACACAAATAGGAAACAAACATTATAGTTCGAAAAGACGTAACAAAAATTAATTATTATTTATAGAACACATTTTTGCTCAACTGGGTTCATAACGGCTTAATGAAGTCATGCTTTGCAAAAAAACGCATTCAATAAGATGTAGCAAATCTAACATACTAAACACAATTTACAAAAGGTGTAGAAATGACGTTTTTTTAAGCATCTATGCTAACTCTAGAAATGCAATATGGTACTTGAAAAGGCCAAATCGGTAGCATGCCTCACATTTTACACCTTATTTCTAGATTTAAAAATATGCCATAAGACTTGTAGAATTTTGTAATGTATAAACAAGATAAAAAAAATAAATTATAAAAAATGAAAAAATAAACCTTGCAAAAAGTGTTATAAGTTATCAAAACTGCAAGGTTGTCATGTTTAATTTCAATTAAAATGAAATTGAAACATTTACTGTTATATACAATAATATTAATGTATACCTTCAGCAGTAACGATTGCCCGGAATTTGATTACTGGTGGCCATACTTTTTTCAGAATGGTTGTTAAAAACAGCAAGCTTGTGTTTGTTTCTAAAACGAATATTTCGTCGTTGAAATCGTCATCAATGATGAATTCTTTGTTGTGTATGTGCGATGTTTTAACAACGAGTGCACACTGCGAGAATATAGAATGTCTTTAGAACTTTTTCAGATATGGTAAACATTTTTGACGAAAGGGAATACGAGAAAAACGTGTCGATGTTTTTAATTTTAAAGGTAATCATGGTAAGATATGGTAACGGATAAAAGTTTAATCTTATGAATGCTAAAAATAAAATCATAGAAAATCATGTTAAAAAAAACGAAGTGAAATTTTATTTAGAATTATAAAAAATGAGTTATACTATATTTCACATGTATCACATATAAATACATGCTCTTCCGTTCGTATAGATTCTTGCTCTTCATCTCCGAATTCGTCAATCAACAGTTTACATGGTTTATAATTGAACCTCTTGACTATCTGAGGCAATTTTTCCTTCTCCTTAAACTCGTAACAGCAGGATATTATAGACTTGAATATGTTCGTATGCAACGAAAAAAAAAACACACTCAAAAAACCCGATAATTAAATTTAGAAAGCTACTCTAGGTTTGTGTAGTTAGACTACTGATGAATACACCTGTCCATAAAACAGTCAGGGGTGTAACTTAAACATGTTATCATTTTTATAACCCATAGCCGTTATACAATTTTATCCGTTTACTAACAGGATCAACTTTGTAAATGTTTATTTTATTAGTGTATGTTCTCCGTTAACATTGAAAAGTGACTGTAAGTATACGTATTTTGTAGAGTACCGATAAATAAACATGTTAATGCATCTCATTATCAGGTCAAGGTCTAATTACCTTGAAATATGTGCTATTTTTAGCTCAAAATTGACCAATTTTTCCATTTTTGAGATCGCTGTTGTGCGAATCTTAAAATTTTCCTATTGTTCTGATAATTTTTTTATGAAAGTATAAGCAATATGCTTCCACATGTCTGTCTGTGACTTGGTGCGCAAAGCTGTTAAGTCGGTGCGCATGGCATTTGAAAAATTGAAGTACAAAATCATTTCTAACTCTTTTGCGTTATTTCCTGAAAGTAGGGGAAGCAAGAAAAATAACGCTTGCTTGCCTATCAGGCTTTATTCCCGATTATCTACCATTCATACTACTAAACATAATAAAATTCTTGTCTGCAATTTAACTATAAATTGTGAGTTTATAGTGAGTTAAACGATACTGAAATCAATATTAAAATTTCATATACAGCTTATATAATGTTAAATACATTGTTTTCGTGTAAGTTTGTAGACATGACTTTTTAAAAGTTTATTTTAAAACAAAGTAATGTGTCTAAAAACCGTATTAAAAACTTATTTTCTAGAAGTATTTTTATCTTTTATTTCTAGACGGCAGTAAATGACTAGTGTATCCGTTTCACCAATAACGGCATCAACATTTCTAGATTGATAAAGTTATGAATAATATCATGCTATTTATTTTTCTCACAAACATAAGTAATTTAAACGTAGGTAAAAGCAGCGTCCGTGGAAAAAATCTCTCGCTGCATGTTATTTATTATAACATGTTTGAATAAATATTTACTCCATATTTTAATGTAGTTGCGAATGTATATGCAATTAACTAAATTTATTAAATCCATTAGAGCTTCAAATTTATGGCATTGTACCACCCGGGCATAATTTACGCATAAAAAAGTTTTAAAAAAAATCAACGTCCAAATTGATAGATTAACACATTTGCGACACGTCTCCGTCCAGTGTGTGAAGATTTTTCTCTACTACATGTACTAAATTAGCAAATGACAGCCAACGGCAGCACGTAATATTGGCCCTCTATGTTTAACGCGTATAAGTTATCATACTCTGCAAAGGCAATTGTTCTATTGAGGAAACAAATATTTACAGAACGAGTACTCAAACATTTTACACGATGTATTATACTCGTATCATACGACAAATATCTAATGTTGATAAAATTGTTTGAAAACTGTTTGAATGTCTTTAATTATACAGGGTGCAAAATATTGTAACGGGTCATGTACGGGACTTCGATTTAAAGCCTCATCCGAAAGACTGATTAGTAATTTTAGTTGACCAGCCCGGGAATCGAACCCACAATTTCGAGTTTACAAGTCTCGCATTCTAACCGACTGAGCTATGCGGGCTGGCTGAGTGAAGCCAATGAAGAGTCACGCCATCTAGAAATTAACGGAAACAGGTTATCTTACTGACTGCATTCCAATATATTAGTACATTGTAACTTTTGTTAAAATCAATGTATATTTAATGTTTGAGTGTCAAAATCATTTTCTTTGTGTAGGGGCCAACACTGTAAGGGAAAATAAATTATTTAAAGAATTCAAACTAGGATATTTGTGCTTACAAACATTGTTCTACATTGCTAGTTTAAACTGTTTAAATACCAATAAATTCATAGCGTACGTCACTGGGTAAAATGTTCTACAATAAAAAATAGCAAAACAAACATTTTCTTAGTTACTTTTGTTCGAAAAATTGTCTTTGATCATATTTCTATGGCCCTGAAATTAAAAATGAAAAATATTTTAACTATATTTTTTACCGTTAAATGCGTTGTTCTTTTCAGAAAGGTACTTCATGGAAAGAAGTGTATATGGTTATTTTAACCTTATATGTTATACCAGTCGACACATATCTAAAAATGATTAAAATATTTGAACAGTGTCCAAAATACTGTCTTTCTTTTCAAAGATTCTATTTTTCCTGAAACATGTCGTGACCAAATTTGTTATAATTAGGAAAAATCATTTCTATTTCATTAAGTAGCGGAAACAAGTTCTCTAACACTCGATTGCGTAACTTCTCAGCGTTATTTTCCTCTAAAGATCTAATTGTAAAAATTAGGAGACATATGCTTTTTGCATCTAAAGTGTTTATTAGATATTGAAAGTTTTGTATCGTATACACACAAAAAAACATTTTATAAATGATAAGTAATAATTTGCATTTTAAAATTATCACACTTGGGCTGCGTGGTCTACATAAAAGACGCAGCATACCGACAAGAAAAACAAAAGTAAAAGTCCTGCAAATAATCGACGACAACGGCAATACGTTATTATACGCTGCAAAAGACAATTAATCGAGTTTTAGGTAAAAGAAGTTCAGCATTTTCATAGAAAAAGTATTCACAAAATAACTTTATGTGATATGTATACCAGTCTACAAATATCTGATGTTAATTAGAATGTTTTAACATAGAAATGGCCATAGTGTCGTTCATCGTTTCATTTTTCTTTCACCAAAAATAACGTGACTATGTTATTTTCTTAAAACTAAATTTGTCTTCATCTATTATCTCACAAAAATATTCAAAGGCATCCCTTCCATTTTGTATCATTCATTTTTGATGGAGAATTGATGATATTTTATTTGATTGCATTTTGTTATAATGAGCGTCTCTTATACATAGGACGAGTCATTTCTATTGTATTACGTAACGGCAATAATGTATCTTAAACTCAAATTCTATAACTTATCAGTGTTATTTTCCTCTGCCAAACATTAATTGCAAAAAAGGAAGACAAGTGTTCATTCAAAGTACTTATAAGATACAAACGTGATATGTTTTTCTAGTCTTCAAAAATCCAATGTTTATTAAAATATTTAAACACAGAATTTTGTCAGTGTCAAAAACACCGCTCATCGTTTCAATTTTTCGCCTAAAAAACGTGTTCAAGTTGTTTTCGTCTTCATATATTATCTCAAAAAATATATTGAAAGGCTTCCCTTCAGTTTGATATCATTCATATTTGATTTGGACTTGATAACATTTTTATTTCATCGCATTTTTTATAATTAGTGCAATTCATACACACGAGGAATCATTTCAATTGCACTATGTAACGAAAACAAGTTATATTACAAGTTATATTGGTAACTTCTCGGCGTTATTTTCCGCTGTCAAATATCTAATTGTAAAAATTAAAAGACAAAGTGTTCATTTAAAGTATAAATTATATATAAAGTGTTATATCGTATACAAATAAACATAAATTGTTAATGTTTTGCATTTTATTAAATAACGGCAACAAGTAATCGTATACTCGAATTTGTAACTTCTCAACGTTATTTTTGCTGTTAAAGATCTAATGCAAAATAAAGAAGACACATGTTCATTTTTAAGTGCTAATTAGATATTTACGTAATAGGTTTTACTAGTCTTCAATAATCCAATGTTTCTTTAAAATATTTAAATAAAGGATTTTGTCAGTGTCCAAAATACGGCTCATCGTTTTCATGTTTGGCCAAAAATGACGTGACCGAGTTATTTTCTTACAACTTGATTTGTCTTTGTAGTTTGTATATTATCTCACAAACATATATAAAGGCATCCCTATGATATGGTATTATTAATGTTTGATTGGGACTTAATGATATTTTTATTTGATTGCATTTGTTATAATAAATATGTTTTATACACACGAGGAATCATTTCCATTGCATTAAGTAACGAAAACAAGTTATATTACACTGTCTCGAATTTATAACTTCTCGGCGTTATTTTCCGTGTCAAAAATCTAATTGAAAAAATAAGAAGACGAATGTTTATTTTAAGTACTAATAAGATACTTGTTTTTCGTGATTATATTATGTTTTACTAGTTTTCAACAATCCAATGTTTATTAAACAATTTCAACATAGGACTGTGTCCAAAATACCGTTCATCGTTTTCATTTATCGCCAAAATAACGTGACCAAGTTATTTTCTTACAACAAGATTTGTCTTCATTTATTATTTCACAAACAAATATATCCCTTCGGTATTATATGAGTCATTCATTTTTGAGGGAGAATTGATCTTTATTTGATTGTATTTGTTAAAATGTGTATAGTTGATACACACGAGGAATCAGTTCCATTGCATGAAGTAGCGGAAACAAGTTATATTACACTCTAATTTGTAACTGCATAGCGTTGTTTTCCGGTGTCAAAGTTAGAAGACAGATGTTTATTTGAAGTGTTAATAAAATATTTAAATTTTATATCGTATACAAATAAACAAACAGTTTAAAGATGTTGTTATTTGTTTTGCATTTCATCAAGTA